GGGGTGTCACGGTCCAGGGGAGGTGGATCTGTCATGGTCCAGGGGAGGTGGGGCTGTCCTGGTCCATGGGAAGTGGGGCTGTAATAGTATAGGGGAGGTGGGGCTGTCATGGTCCAGGGAAGGTGGGGCTGTCATGGTCCAGGGGAGGTGGGGCTGTCATGATTCAGGGGAGGTGAGGCTGTCATGGTCCAGGGGAGGTGGGGCTGTCATGATTCAGGGGAAGTGGGGCTGTCATGGTCCAGGGGAGGTGGGGCTGTCATGGTTCATGGGAGGTGGGGCTGTCATTGCCCATGGGAGGAGAGCCTCTCATGTTCCAGGGAAGGTGGGGCTGTCATGTTCCAGCGGAGGTGGGGCTGTCATGTTTCAGTGGAAGTGGGCCTGTCATGGTCCAGGGGAGGTGGGGCTGTCATGGTCCAGCGGAGGAGGGACTGTGATGGTCCTTGGTAGGTGGGGCTGTCATGGCCCAGTGGATATGGGGTCGTCCTTGTTCTCTGGAATTTGGGCTGTCATTGTCCAGGGGAGGTGGGGCTGTACTGGTTCAAGGGAGGTTGGGCTGTCATGGTCCAGGGAGGTGGATCTGTCGTGGTCCAGGGGAGGTTGTGCTGTCCTGATCCAAGGGAGGTGGGGCTGTCATGGTCCAGGGAAGGTGTGGCTGTCCAGGTCCATGGGAGGTGGGGCTGTCCTGGTCCAGGGGAGGTGGGGCTGTCATTGTCCAGGGAAAGTGGGGCTGTCATGGTCTAGGGTAGGTGAGGCTGTCATGGTTCAGGGGAGGCGGGGCTGTCATGGTCCAATGGAGGTGGGTCTGTCATGGTCCAGGGAAGGTGAGGCTGTGCTGGTCCAGGAGAGGTGGGGCTGTCATGGTCCAGGGGAGGTTTGGCTGTCCTGGTCCAGTGGAGGTGGGGCTGTCATGGTCCAGGGGAGGTGGATCTGTCATGATCCATGGAAGGTGGGGCTGTCCTGGTCCAGGGGAGGTGGGGATGTCATGGTCCAGGGGAGGTGGGGCTGTTTTGGTCCAGGGGATGTTGAGCTGTCATGGTCCTAGGGAGGTGGATCAGTTATGGTCCAGGGGAGGTGGGGCTGTCCTCGCCCAGGGGAGGTGGGGCTGTCATGGTCCAGAGGAGGTGGGGCTCTCCTGGTCCAGGGGAGGTGAGGCTCTCATGGGCCAGGGGAGGTGGATCTGTAATGGTCCAGGGGAGGTGGTGCTGTCCTGGTCCAGGGAAGGTGGGGCTGTCATGGTCCAGGGAAGGTGGGGCTGTCCTGGTCCAGGGAGGTGGGGCTGTCATGGTCCAGGGGAGGCGGATCTGTCATAGTCCAGGGGAGGTGGGGCTGTCCTGGTCCAGGGGAGGTGGGGCTGTCATGGTCCAGGGAAGGTGTGGCTGTCCAGGCCCAGGGGAGGTGGGGCTGTTCTGGTCCAGGGGAGATGGAGCTGTCATGGACCAGGGGAGGTGGGACTGTCATGGTCCAGGGAAGGTGGGGCTGTCATGGTCCAGGGAAGGTGGGGCTGTCATGGTCCAGGGAAGGTGGGGCTGTCCTGGTCCAGGGGAGGTGGGGCTGTCATGGTCCAGGGGAGGTGGATCTGTCATAGTCCAGGGGAGGTGGGGCTGTCCTGGTCCAGGGGAGGTGGGGCTGTCATGGTCCAGGGAAGTTGTGGCTGTCCAGGTCCAGGGGAGGTGGGGCTGTTCTGGTCTAGGGGAGGTGGAGCTGTCATGGACCAGGGGATGTGGGACTGTCATGGTCCAGGGAAGGTGTGGCTGTCATGGTCCAGGGAAGGTGGGGCTGTCATGGTCCAGGGAAGGTGGGGCTGTCATGGTCCAGGGAAGGTGGAGCTGTCATTGTCCAGAGGAGGTGGGGCTGTCATGGTCCAGGGAAGGTGGGGCTGTCATGGTCCAGGGAAGGTGGGGCTGTCATGGTCCAGGGAAGGTGGAGCTGTCATGGTCCAGAGAAGGTGGGGCTGTCATGGTCCAGGGAAGGTATGGCTGTCATGGTCCAGGGAAGGTGGGGCTGTCATGGTCCAGGGAAGGTGGGGGTGTCATGGTCCAGGGAAGGTGGGGCTGTCATGGTCCAAAACCCAATAAATCTTCGAGTCGAAAATCAATCACACATAATCTACTTCACATTAAACCACAGGAGTTTAATTATTTCTCAAAACTTTCTAGTTACAATAGGCATGTCGGGTAGGCAAAAATTATCTTTCAGGTCTAAAAGACATTTTATTATTTCTTTAATGTAAATAATTACATCGAATGGCTCTCTGTGTCAAGCGCATCCTTTGTCTCCTCCTTTGCACAGCTGTACACACCCACACCATCATAGATACACAAACACACACACACACACATATCATGGAGGCATCCCCAGACATTACAGCACTCACGGAAATCACAAGAGATTAGTGCAGAAGCTGGAGGATGAGGCGCATATAACAGGGAGTGCACTGCAATGAATCAGGGAATTTCTGACAGGGAGGCAACAACGAGTCATGGTACGTGAAGAGGTATCACAGTGGGCGCCTGTGTCGAGCGGGGTCCCACAGGGGTCAGTTCTAGGACCAGTGCTATTTTTGATATATGCGAACGAAATGATGAAAGGAATAGACTCTGAAGTGTCCCTATTCGCAGATGAAATGAAGCTGATGAGAAGAATTAAATCGGATGAGGATGAGGCAGGACTGCAGAGAGACCTGGACAGGCTGGACACGTGGTTCAGAAACTGGCTTCTCGAATTCAACCCTGCCAAATGCAAAGTCATGAAGATTGGAGAGGGGCAAAGAAGACCGCAGACAGAGTGCAGGCTAGGTCGACAAAGACTACAGACCTCACTCAGGGAGAAAGATCTTGGGGTGACCATAACACCGAGCACGTCACCGGAGGCACACATCAACCAAATAACTGCTGCAGCATACAGGCGCCTGGCAAACCTGAGAATAGCGTTCCGATACCTTAATAAGGAATCGTTCAAGACACTGTACACTGTGTATGTTAGGCCCATACTGGAGCATGCAGCACCAGTCTGGAACCCATACCTGGTCAAGCACGTCAAGAAGTTAGAGAAAGTACAAAGGTTTGCAAAAATGCTAGTCCCAGAGCTCTGGGGAATGTCGTACGCGGAAAGGTTGAGGGAAATCGGACTGACGACACTGGAGGACAGAAGGGTCAGGGGAGACATGATAATGACGTTCCAGAGAGGGGACACAGAAACAAGGGGTCACGATTGGAAGCTGAAGACTCAGGCGAGTGACAGGGACGTTAGGAAGTATTTCTTCAGTCATAGAGTCGTCAGGAGGTGGAAAAGCCTAGCAAGTGAAGTAGTGGAGGCAGGAACCATACATAGTTTTAAGAAGAGGTATGACAAAGCTCAGGAAGCAGAGAGGGGGAGGACGTAGTAGCGATCAGTGAAGAGGCAGGGCCAGGAGCTGAGCCTCGACTCATGCAACCACAATTAGGTAAGTACAATTAGGTGAGTACACACACACACACACACACAACATACATACGCTCACATAGCGAAGAGGCGGGACCAGGAAGTATGAATCGACACCTGCAACCATATATAGGTGAGCACGCACTCACACAGAAAGTGCAAACGTTTACAACAAGACTAGTCCCGGAGGTAAGGGGTACGTCCTACGAGGATAGGTTAAGGAAAATCGACCTGACGATACTGAAGGATCCGAGGCATAGTGATGATGTTGTAAGGACATATATAATTCTGAGAGGAATTGACAAGGTGGATATTGACAGGATGTTTCAATGATGGGACACAGCAACAAACGGTCACACCTGGAAGTTGAAAACTCAGATGAGTTACAGGTATGTTAGGAAGTATTTCTTCAGTCATAGAGTGGTTAGGAAGTGGACCTAGTAGCGATCAGAGAAGAGGCAGGAGCCAGGAGCTGTGACTCCACTCTTGCAAGCACTTATAGGTGAGTACACACACCCTCACAAGCAACTGAGAAGGCAGTAGGAGGAAATGAGAGATCAAACAAGGTCTTTGCAAAATTAATCTATAGCAATCGGGATTAGTAAACTATATGAGGAGCAACAGGAAAATGTTCAAAACAGCCACAGAAATCAGGAGGGAAAAAGAAGTGAGGAGAGAGAAGAATAATGAGATCACTGATCATACATGGATTTCATGAGGCTGAGGGAAGGACTGCTAGGGTGAAGTGCTTAAAAAACAAAGAGTTTTAAAAGAAAGTTATATTAGGGACGCTGAATTTACTTAGAAAGCTCTGTATGTGGAGATCCGATGTGTCTTAGAGAGTGTTTTAGGTAGGAAGCTCCGTGATGGGGAAATTAATGTAAGTTGGAGAACAATCTTAGTGTAAGGAAAGTGAATTGTATTAGAGATTAAACTCTGAGTTGTGGAACGCTACTTAAATTAAAAAGAAAAATCTGAGGGGTTAATAAGAATTAAGAAATTTAGAGAACAATATCCGGCAGAAGTTCATCTGAAATATTTTTTTTTCTGTGGAAAAAGGCAAATCTGTTTTCTAAGACAAGAAAAATAAGACTGGAGATTAAAAGTATCCATAATAATCTTTGTCAAAATTGATCTAATTAACCCTCGTCATCACTACACTGCTTCAGCAGAGACCTGATAAATAACTAACCTCTATTAATTAAGTGAGGACCACATGTATATACTCTGTTCACAGAGTATATACATCAAAAACTGAGAATATCTAACTGGATGTATATAATGAAAGGTGTACTCAGTGGAAATATGCTGTGAGGTGTATGCCTCTCAGTGTATATACTCAAAGAGCTTAGTAATTATAAATGAATATACGTCAGGAGGTATATATCTCGGAGCGTATATACACAAAAATTTACTGTGATCCCTAGTCTAACTAGGAAGGTCTCCGAGTCGTGATGTATTGATAAATTGCGGCTTTATCGCTCTCGGGCAGCCGATAAGAAGTAAAGCCAAGAAACTAACTGCGTCTGCTTCGAATCCCCTGAACTTAACCAAGGCAGAAGTAGGCAACATCTTCTTACCATGCTCAAAGTAAGGTTGTTTGTGATGTGAGCCTCTGGGATGTCAGTGGTCTCCGAAGTGTTGTTCAAGACCCAGCTAAAGGACACTTGCTGCGGGTGGGAGTCCACTTGGCAAGGTACGTGGATCATCTCGTTGCGTGCGACACCGTACACCCACCGTTGTCCTGGCCGACACACTGGCGAGTCTGTCAAATAAGTACATGGTAATTAAAGTACACTATCCTCAGTCTGCAAAATATTTATCTGTGGAAAAATATATATGAAAAGGAGCGTATGACATTGAAGATATGTGATGCAGTTTAAATATTGTTGTTTTTAATGGTTATTGATGATGTACCAGCTGCTATTTTTTTTTTGTTGGTTTTGTTGTTTTTTCCTCTTGTTTGTTGTTGTTGTTGTGTTTTGTTGGCTACTCCTGTTACTGTTCTTGTTCTTGACAATCGGATGAGTGAAAACAGCATGAGTAAATTAATGTTCAGTATAATCATTCTATACAACAATGAAACTCAAACTTTTAAGTTCAGCATGAGAACATCTGTGGATGCTGCTACCATATTGTTACTCAGACTACTGAGTACTGCGGTGGACGCTGCTACCATATTGTTACTCAGACTACTGAGTACTGCTGTGGATGCTGCTACCATATTGTTACTCAGACAACTGAGTACTGCTGTGGATGCTGCTACCATATTGTTACTCAGACAACTGAGTACTGCTGTGGATGCTGCTACCATATTGTTACTCAGAGAACTGAGTACTGCTGTGGATGCTGCTACCATATTGTTACTCAGAGAACTGAGTACTGCTGTGGATGCTGCTACCATATTGTTACTCAGAGAACTGAGTACTGCTGTGGATGCTGCTACCATATTGTTACTCACAGAACTGAGTACTGCTGTGGATGCTGCTACCATATTGTTACTCAGAGAACTGAGTACTGCTGTGGATGCTGCTACCATATTGTTACTCACAGAACTGAGTACTGCTGTGGATGCTGCTACCATATTGTTAGTCAGAGAACTGAGTACTGCTGTGGATGCTGCTACCATATTGTTACTCAGACAACCGAGTTCTGCTGTGGATGCTGTTACCATATTGTTACTCAGACTACTGAGTACTGCTGTGGATGATTCTACCATATTGTTACTCAGACAACTGAGTACTGCTGTGGATGCTGCTACCATATTGTTACTCAGAGAACTGAGTACTGCTGTGGATGCTGCTACCATATTGTTACTCAGAGAACTGAGTACTGCTGTGGATGCTGCTACCATATTGTTACTCAGAGAACTGAGTACTGCTGTGGATGCTGCTACCATATTGTTACTCAGACAACCGAGTTCTGCTGTGGATGCTGTTACCATATTGTTACTCAGACTACTGAGTACTGCTGTGGATGCTGCTACCATATTGATACTAAGACTACTGAGTACTGCTGTCGTTGCTGCTACCATATTGTTACTCAGACTACTGAATACTGCTGTGGTTGCTGCTACCATATTGTTACTCAGACTACTGAATACTGCTGTCGTTGCTGCTACCATATTGTTACTCAGACTACTGAATACTGCTGTGGATGCTGTTACCATATTGTTACTCAGACTATTGAGTACTGCTGTGGTTGCTGCTACCATATTGTTACTCAGACAACTGAGTACTGCTGTGGATGCTGCTACCATATTGTTACTCAGACTACTGAGTACTGCTGTGGATGATTCTACCATATTGTTACTCAGACAACTGAGTACTGCTGTGGATGCTGCTACCATATTGTTACTCAGACTACTGAGTACTGCTGTGGATGCTGCTACCATATTGTTACTCAGACAACTGAGTACTGCTGTGGATGCTGCTACAATATTGTTACTCAGACTACTGAGTACTGCTGTGGATGCTGCTACAATATTGTTACTCAGACTACTGAGTACTGCTGTGGATGCTGCTACAATATTGTTACTCAGACTACTGAGTACTGCTGTGGATGCTGCTACAATATTGTTACTCAGACTACTGAGTACTGCTGTGGATGCTGCTACAGTATTGTTACTCAGACTACTGAGTACTGCTGTGGATGTTGCTACCATATTGTTACTCAGACTACTGAGTACTGCTGTGGATGCTGCTACAGTATTGTTACTCAGACTACTGAGTACTGCTGTGGATGCTGCTACCATGTTGTTACTCAGACAACTGAGTACTGCTGTGGATGCTGCTACCATATTGTTACTCAGACAACTGAGTACTGCTGTGGATGCTGCTACAATATTGTTACTCAGACTACTGAGTACTGCTGTGGATGCTGCTACAATATTGTTACTCAGACTACTGAGTACTGCTGTGGATGCTGCTACAATATTGTTTACTCAGACTACTGAGTACTGCTGTGGATGCTGCTACAATATTGTTACTCAGACTACTGAGTACTGCTGTGGATGCTGCTACAATATTGTTACTCAGACTACTGAGTACTGCTGTGGATGTTGCTACCATATTGTTACTCAGACTACTGAGTACTGCTGTGGATGCTGCTACAGTATTGTTACTCAGACTACTGAGTACTGCTGTGGATGCTGCTACCATATTGTTACTCAGACTACTGAGTACTGCTGTGGATGCTGCTACCATATTGTTACTCAGACTACTGAGTACTGCTGTGGATGCTGCTACAGTATTGTTACTCAGACTACTGAGTACTGCTGTGGATGCTGCTACAGTATTGTTACTCAGACTACTGAGTACTGCTGTGGATGCTGCTACCATATTGTTACTCAGACTACTGAGTACTGCTGTGGATGCTGCTACAGTATTGTTACTCAGACTACTGAGTACTGCTGTGGATGCTGCTACAGTATTGTTACTCAGACTACTGAGTACTGCTGTGGATGCTGCTACCATGTTGTTACTCAGACAACTGAGTACTGCTGTGGATGCTGCTACAATATTGTTACTCAGACTACTGAGTACTGCTGTGGATGCTGCTACAGTATTGTTACTCAGACTACTGAGTACTGCTGTGGATGCTGCTACCATGTTGTTACTCAGACTACTGAGTACTGCTGTGGATGCTGCTACCATGTTGTTACTCAGACAACTGAGTACTGCTGTGGATGCTGCTACCATATCGTTACTCAGACAACTGAGTACTGCTGTGGATGCTGCTACCATATCGTTACTCAGACTACTGAGTACTGCTGTGGTTGCTACTACCATATTGTTACACAGAAAACTGAGTACTACTGTGGATGCTGCTACAATATTGTTACTCAGACAACTGAGTACTGCTGTGGTTGCTATTACCATATTGTTACTCAGACTACTGAGTACTGCTGTGGATGCTGCTACCATATTGATACTCAGACAACTGAGTACTACTGTGGATGCTGCTACCATATTGTTACTCAGACTACTGAGTACTGCTGTGGTTGCTACAACCATATTGTTACTCAGACAACTGAGTACTGCTGTGGATGCTGCTACCATATTGCTACTCAGACAACTGAGTACTGCTGTTGTTGCTACTACCATTTTGTTACTCAGACAACTGAGTACTGCTGTGGATGCTACTACCATATTGTTACTCAGACTACTGAGTACTGCTGTGGATGTTGCCACCATATTGTTACTCAGACTACTGAGTACTGCTGTTGTTGCTACTACCATTTTGTTACTCAGACAACTGAGTACTGCTCTGGATGCTACTACCATATTGTTACTCAGACAACTGAGTACTGCTGTTGTTGCTACTACCATTTTGTTACTCAGACAACTGAGTACTGCTCTGGATGCTACTACCATATTGTTACTCAGACAACTGAGTACTGCTGTGGATGTTGCCACCATATTGTTACTCAGACTACTGAGTACTACTGTGGATGCTGCTACCATATTGTTACTCAGACAACTGAGTACTGCTGTGGATGCTGCTACCACATTGTTACTCAGACTACTGAGTACTGCTCTGGATGCTACTACCATATTGTTACTCAGACAACTGAGTACTGCTGTGATTGCTACTACCCTATTGTTACTCAGACAACTGAGTACTGCTGTGGATGCTGCTACCATATTGTTACTCAGACAACTGAGTACTGCTGTGGATGCTGCTACCCTATTGTTACTCAGACAACTGAGTACTGCTGTGGATGCTGCTACCATATTGTTACTCAGACAACTGAGTACTGCTGTGGATGTTGCTACCATATTGTTACTCAGACAACTGAGTACTGCTGTGGATGCTGCTACCATATTGTTACTCAGACTACTGAGTACTGCTGTGGATGCTGCTACCATATTGTTACTCAGACAACTGAGTACTGCTGTGGATGCTGCTACCATATTGTTACTCAGACTACTGAGTACTGCTGTGGATGCTACTTCCATATTGTTACTCAGACTACTGAGTACTCCTGTGGATGCTACTACCATATTGTTACTCAGACTACTGAGTACTGCTGTGAATGCTGCTACCATATTGTTACTCAGACTACTGAGTACTGCTGTGGATGCTGCTACCATATTGTTACTCAGGCAACTAAGTACTGCTGTTGTTGCTACTACCATATTGTTACTCAGACAACTGAGTACTGCTGTGAATGCTGCTACCATATTGTTACTCAGACTACTGAGTACTGCTGTGAATGCTGCTACCATATTGTTACTCAGACTACTGAGTACTGCTGTGGATGCTGCTACCATATTGTTACTCAGACAACTGAGTACTTCTGTGGTTGCTACTACCATACTGTTACTCACACTACTGAGTACTGCTGTGGATACTACTACCATATTGTTACTAAGACAACTGAGTACTGCTGTGGATGCTACTACCATATTGTTACTCAGACAACTGAGTACTGCTGTGGATGCTACTACCATATTGTTACTCAGACAACTGAGTACTGCTGTGGATGCTGCTACCATATTGTTACTCAGACTACTGAGTACTGCTGTGGATGCTGCTACCATATGGTTACTCAGACTACTGAGTACAGCTGTGGATGCTGCTACCATATTGTTACTCAGATTACTGAGTACAGCGGCGGATGCTGCTACGAGAGTGTTACTCAGATTACTGAGTACTGTTGTGGATGTTGCTACCATTCTGTTACTCAGACTACTGAGTACAGCTGTGGATGATGCTACAATAGTGTTACTCAGACCAGAGTCCACCATGAGTATAGTTGTA